ACAAGGAAATAGCAGAATTAAGCCTGCCTCTCTGTAGTGAGGCACCCAAATTACCTTGCACTCTGTCCCTGCAGAGGAATATCAAACTTCCTTATGGAAGGCTTAAAGGGGGGTGGGAGGGATAAGGAGGGCGGGGGGGTAATGGAGCCACAGAGAAAACCCTAAAGGTCAGTCAGGATAAAGAAACACCCTAGTGAACCTCCTTATGGTAAGTAGGGGTTCTTCACTTCTATAAACAGCAGTAGGTCCACAAGGAAACTGTGCGTGAATAAGGACCCTTGAGATGTGGACCTCAGAAGTTCCCTCCTCTATACACACCTCTTAATTCGTCTTAAGTGACCTGTTGGAGCTCTTATGATGTTTCTTGGAATCAAATTACACTTTGCACTCACTCTGCAAGGAAAATGGCAGAAACTTGTTTTTAAACAGAGATTTATAACTCCTCTGTTTCCAGTGTATGAAATTAAATTTGTTAAGAACTGGAATTCTATAACATAGTCCTCAAATGAAAAGATATTTCATATTAGACAACTGTACTATGCTCTTGCTCTCAAACTAGTCCAGTAAATTAATTTTTTCTCTTCATCCCACCTTTTGTGCAATGCAGTGACAAATATTAAAATATAAGAACCATGGAAACTTTTTTTTCCTGAAGAAGTTCATATTTACAATACATCAACCTGTATGTTACTTCTCCTTCCCTGTTGTACTTATTTCAATATGTAAATTGCATAAAAGAAACATGAAGTTGGACTGTTTATTCATCATTCCTGTTCTATTCTGTGTGTATCCTGGAGGGAACAGTTTAGGGGCTACTTTAACAAATTTATCACATCTTGAGTAGTAATATGGCCACATTCATGCAATTAATAGTGCAATAAAACAGGGAATAAGCCACAAAATTATTACGCGTATTATGTATAATACTTTTGTGGCCGTTTCCCATTCCACCTTAAATTGAATATGTGGCTGGTGTGCTCCTGGGGCTGGGAACTAGATCAGCTGACTGGCCTCCCAGTCATTGATGCACTGGCAATAAAGCAAGATTATGTTTTGATCCCCAATCCCACAATCACGCCTTCTGCCATGCACATGTGGTATGACAGGAGGCATGACTGCTGGGATTGGGAAGCAGACCCCATCATGCCTTTACCTGAACTTCTGTCAGCAGCCTATGATAAACAATAAATTGGGTTTTGAAACCAATGAGGCATAGTATTCCTTACAGCAAATCTTGAATTTAATTTTCTTGACAATATAGCTTCAAAATTAACTTTTGTATTAAATCAGACAAAAAATAAGTACATAAAATTTTAATTTTTGAAAGCCAGACACCTGAATAATGGCATACTCAAAAAGTAAGTCAAATGAATGATCTGAGTACTATAACATAAAAATGGCTACAATACTGGTTTCGTGCAGGCTAGTTTTTATGTTGGAGGAGGTTTTGAAAATGTTAAAGCTGAATTAAATGGCATGGAAGCGATTCTATAACTATGGCTCCAAAATCTTCACTGCAAATCACTAATGATTTACACCTTTCCTTCGGAACTTCAAACAGAAACTATGTTGTCCTCATCATTTACTTCACTTGAGTTTCTAAAATCTAGACACACTCCTTATTGTAATATGAAAGCTAATAACTGTCCAGTGACCACGGTTACTTAGAGGATGTTGGGCATGTAAAATATAATATGGGTGCAATGCTAGAGGACTGAAATGCAACAACGTCCTTTTAATTTTATCAGAAAACTTCCACAGTCCTGGAGCACCAGGGTCAAGAGAATATCCATTCTTCCCTCAGATATTAACCCATGAATGTCTATTTAATATTTCATGAAATTTCACCATGTTATCTTTCCAGGACAAGATAGTATTTCCTGTGTTTATAGTTGTTTTTCAATAAGTCAGTAGCTGATTTGTCAGTTTCTTGAAACAAGTTTTATATGTTGTTCTTTTCTACGCTGGCTTACCAGGCTATTTTGTCATTCTGTTTATAGGCCAAACACTCGTTAACCTCACAAATCTCTGGAGAATTGTGGTTTTAAGGGAACCCAGAAGGGAGAGACAAATTTAGAAATACATTTATCCAGTTCACTAAAATTGAGACATTATGGTTTTCATTCTTCCCCCGGTTCTCCCCCCACTCCTCAAAATGCCAAATTTCCATCATCCGAGCTCCCTGAATAAACGAACACTTTGTTACTGGACTCAGGAAGAAAGAAACCACATGCCTGTTAGGGATGGAGACAGAAGGAGTGGAATATATGCTTGGAGGCATGTTTATTCGGTTGGATTGCAGATGACCAGCACAGGAACGTGGAGATCATATTTTTAAGCTTGACCAAAATTATCTGAAATTGGTGCTTGTGTGTCCTGACTGAAACCCCACAATTCATGTATATAAAGTATCTATTTTCCTCCTGGGTTTAATTTTTTTTTAATTGATTAGCATGTAATGCCCCTTACAGACTCAGGAGAAAGATAGGTCTCCCCAGAAAATTAATCAAAATGCAACATTTGGTAAATTTACTTTCAGAAAACAAAAACGTTAGTCTAAGAGAAAGAGAAAGAGAGGCTGCAAGAGGAGAGTTCTTCCAAAGGAAGGGGCTTTTATTGGAGCTGTCACTTGTCATTAAACACTCCATATTTTACCTTAGTCTGATATTTTCAGTAGAGGCTAAAGACTTTTTTCATCCCTGAAAGAAAGCATTCCCTTCAGCCTTCTGCGAACCTGTGGACTCTTTAAAATATGAGCCCACCCAAATGTAAAGGTAGTATCTAGGTGACAGTGAGCTGAGCAGGAAGATGGCACACAGATAACTAATGGCTTGGTGTCAGTGAACTTTTGGTGTCTGTTTAACCTATGAAAACCTTACTTAATATGAGCTCACAGGGGTAAAATAGAAACATTTCTTTCTCAGAACAGGAAGTTGGTAAGTTATTGCTAGCTCATGGATTTAACTGGTTACTTATATTAAGATTCTAATTTTACATCTGAACAGGTGAACAATGCTACTTCACATTTGCTACAATATTTTTAGAAAAATATTGCTGGTGGTCTCTCTATTGCACAAATATTATGTAACAAGACTAAGGAAGACTAATCTAACTGCTTACAGGATGAGTAAGACCACAGTTCTCTGTAAAAGATACTATACAATTCTTAGATAATTTTAGACATAAAGAAGCATCTTTCCTTGACCCGATGCCTGATTTCTGAGCAAAAGTGTGTGTCCTAATGTCTTTCTCACCAACACTATACAAATCCTCAATAATGTGAGTGCTTGGGATGAAAATGTGTTTGACTGATAATTACCAAGTGTGTAAACTTTGGTGGTGAATTCACAGAGGAAAAAATTCTGCATAGAAAACCAATCATCAATGAACAGTGTCATTTTCTGTCCAAAAATGCCATCAATTTTAACTTGTAAATGAAAAGCCTAGAACTAAAATAAAGAACACATTTTAGCCTACTTTTTCCTCATGTGTTTCTTTGCACAAGAAGAGGAGGAAAGCAGAAAGAAGTAGTGCCAAAAAGAAGGAAACCAAGTGAGAAAAAACCATTCTAATGCAAAAAGAATTGTGTTGTTTGAACATAAGTTGTCACATAATTAAGGCTTTGTGGATTTCTGTAGCATTGTGTCCACAGACCCCATTAGCTGCTGCAGAATCCAACATGCCAGGCTTTTAAAAGTCTAGACTCATGAAATTATTCTCTGCACTTGGAACTTAACCCTTTCAGTACACGGTGCACTGCATACAAGGCTGGCACTGAAGGAAAAACCACAAGATGGTGTGGCCAAGAATGTTGCACACAGACATGTTTCTGTGGTTCTTTCTACACCATTTGAAGGGTTGAAACTATCCCATCAAGTTTCCACAGACTAGAGCAAAGAACTGCCTGTTTAATTTAAGTAGGGGTTTTAACTTCCAGTAATCTACTTCAATTCTGTCTTAAGTTTTTATTAGTTAAGTAATATCAAATACCTGCCAATAATAAAAATCTGGTTAACATTAAAGCAATTATATCAAGTAAAGCAAAAAAGTTAAAAATAAAGAGTTCAAAATAAAAATATTTAAGGATCTAAAAGGGCAGACTATTTTTTCACAGTATCTCTGTTATCCAGGAAAGAAAAAGGAGTTTTTGTTTGTTTGTTTTTTTAAACTGGAATTACTTTGCTACATTAAAGCAATTGAAATATTTAAAACATTTTGAACAACTCCATTCTCTATAGTCCTTGCATGGTAATAGCTTAGCAAGTAACATGCCAACACCTAATTGTTTACTGCTTGACATAACTTCTGATATCAAAATTCAGCACGTGGAAAAATATTTCACTTGGTTTCAAACCTATGCTTTTATTTCGCTAATACCATTGTGGGGGAGGCTGGAGATAACACAGTCGTGACAGGTGGTGAGATCACAGTGACTTCATAGGTAAAGGGAAATATGTGACATATATGTGAGCATATCTGGAGCTGATGAGGAGTATGAGTAATATTCATTGCTAAGTGGAAGCTCTGGGTAAGAAAACAGGAACGTCCAGGTAATCCACAATACAATTCTATTGCCACAGCAATACTGATGTAAGTGTGCTTCTCACTCTTCACTTAATGGAGAAAAGGCAGCAGAATAAGGTTCACAGCTTTGTGAAAATGTCCCAGAAAAATGAAAGACAAGTTCTTAGAAACAGCAACTATGAAGAAATCAACATTCCAATTCCCATATGATAAAATAATTTGTAACCCCCTTTAGAGAACAGGTGAATCCCTATATTTTTACTTACAAAAATGGATAAAGCTGCAGAAGAAATATGGGTCATAGGCCGCCAGAGGTTGGTATCCGCAAAGTTCTGTGGGGTAAAACTGTTATGCTAAACACAAAACATTTCTTTTATTATGAAATATGTCCAAAAGGAAGGCAGCAGGTAAAGCAGAGAGAGAAGCAAAAGAAGACTGTATCAGCTGTATCCTTCCAACATATATTTTCATGTTACCTGAAGTTGTTGGGAACTGTCATTGAGATTGTCCTCCCTCCGCCTGGCCTCTTCTAACATCTGTGCACTTTTCTTTTTCTCTACTTGTTCTTTGTGCTTCAGGTTTGCTACTTTCTTATTTTGGTCTTTGACTTGCCTGTAAAAGAAAGAACACACACTCACAGCCCAGCTCAGAATATTTGCTTTTCAGTGATTTTGATTCTTAGGTGCCTTGGGCCTAAAATTGGTGGAAAGTCCAGAAACAATCCCATTCATACTATAGGAGTATACAAATTTTCCTCAAGTGTCAACACGATCATTTTACTTACCTCTATTAAGAGAAACAACTGTAAATTCCTGAAATAACCTCTGTCTGTATCACTATATTGAAAAAAACTTAAAACTGTTACATTAGTAGGAGCTGCTGAACTAAAGACACACCCATCTGTTGGAAACTAGTTAGGGTGAGTTGAATACTAGACTGCATAAACAGGTAGACCATATAAACTAAAGAAACAGCTCATACTGGCTTGGGTACCACCATACTTTATCCAAGGTAAGGATGGAAAAAAGGAGGAATTAAAAAAAAATGAAATACAACTAAAATATACAGGATCAAATATGAATTCCAGCAGCAAAGCTTTTTCTTCCTAACCTTTGTTTACTAGATTTTGTGGGATTTCCCCCCTCTTCTCTTATGGGGACAAGACAGATATATCATAGTATTTCAGAAAGTGTGCATAATTTCCTTCTTCACTTATGTCTGTGAATTATTCTTGATGGTCCTGGCAACTACTATTTCCTGCAGAAAAGGTTTGGCCTTTCTGGGCATTAAGACACACGGAGTATTGAACCTAATTACAGACTCTTTAATCCATGTCTCCTGACTACAGAGAATTTAAATCTAAACTTTTTGGTCCAATCAAAACAAAATAGGCCAGCTTTGCTTCCTCACCCATTTTCTCCATACTTATATCTGGAGTTGCGACTCTGGAAGAAAAAGACTGCTTCTTAAGTCACAAGCCTCCTCCCCAAATACCATACAACTAGCATAAAGAGCTCTCTACTTTATTGTTTAGAAAAGAAAATCACAAACTACCTTACCCTCTTTGGTGCATCACACACCTGTCCACACAGAGGGAGAAGAGTGCCTTCTGAAGGCATTTCTGAAATACACTTAGAACAAATGAGAAACAATTTTGACTCTGTTGTCATGTAAGGAATTTGTATTCAATCTCTAAGTTATGTGAATTAGGTGGGACCGGGAAAACTGTAGGTAGTACATTTTCTTTGGCACTGCATAGACTTGAGTCATTGCTGAGAACAGAACAGTGCTGCTGACCTCCAGAAATATCTCTTGTAGGTCTTCTCAACAAAAGAAGGTGCATTGAGGGATTGGGAAGGGGTTACCCTTTGCAAATTATGTTAAAGAATCTTTGGCATAACTAATTAATGCCTTTTCCAAAAAGCTGATCTGACCCAGGATATTTCTTATATGCAGTAATAAAACTGGTAGCCTGTTCTGGGCTAATACCACATTTTGGTACTAGAGACTACTTTGAAAGCAGACTTGCTCAGTGATTAAACAATTTACCTGGCACTACACTGAACTACAGTTCTGTTTGTACTGTAAAACAGACATCAAAATTAGAGCTAATTTTAATAGCAAATGAAAAAAAATAAACCCAACATGTGGGTTTATTTTGATATACTGAGTCAGTTCCTACATTCCATTAAATGTAGATGTATAGATTAATTTTGATGTATTTGCATAACTTGATTTATCAGCTGGAAAACTATCCCTTGTTATCACAATCTGCTCGAGCAATCTGGACTACAAGGATTAATGAACTCACACTACTGGTTAAAATAGGTATCCTCAGACTCCAAAAATCTTTTTCAAAGAGCAGACTGATTAAATAGATTTTTGACACAGAGCCTGTTGCATGGAGCCCGAGCCAAAATAGTAAGTCTTGCTAAAAAATTAGCCCACATATTGTGTACAAGAGTGTCTTCTTTGGCAAGCCCTCACAGTCAATGATGATTGTCTTCCATGACTGAGATAGGCTGATAAGGCCTATCTGGGATCCACAGAGTCTACTGAAACCAACATATGTTTCCATACGGGTGGGTAGTGCTGGATTCTTGATTTGTTCTGAGACATGCTGTTTCTGCAGCTCGTGCTTTTCCATTTCCTGTTGTTGTCATGAGGTTTCAAAGTACTGAGATCCCTGCAGCAGACTCTTCCTCCATTTGGGGTGGTCCTGGGTGATAGCATTTTTTTTAAAGTTGGTCTTAAGGATGTCCCTGAAATGCTTTATCTGCTCTCCTCTTGAGCGTACGTCTTGTCTGAGCTGGGAGAATAAAACCTGCTTCAGGAGTCTGGAATTGGACATCTGGATGACGTGGCTAGCCCACATGAAGTTGATGTTATATGATCACCACCTCAGTATTCATGGTCTTTGCTTGCAGGAGTATGCTAACATTGATGCATCTGTCTTCCCACCGGATTTAGAGGTCCTTCTACAGGCCATGTTGATGGTACTTCTGCAACAACTTTAGATGTCTCCTGCACGTTGGCCATGTCTCAGCTCTGTACAGCAAGGTGGCGATCATGACTGTTTAATAAACCTTGAGCTTGGTTTTGGATCTGATGTTGTGCTCTTTGAACACCCATTTCTTCAGGTGACCAAAGGCTGCACTTGCACATTTGAGGCAATGTTAGATTTCTTTACTGATGTCAGCCTTCTGTGAGTGATGGACTCCAAGGTATGGAAAATACTCAGTCTTCTCCAGAGTCTCACCATGGTTCTGGATTACAGGAGCTGGGGATTGTTCATTAGGAGCTTGTTGGTGGAGAACCTTAGTCTTCTGAATGTTAAGTGTCAGTCCCATTTTATTGTATGCCTCGGTAAAGACATCGACAATTGCGTGAGTCTGCTTCTGAGTGAGTACACATTACAGCATCATCAGAGTACTGGAGCTCAGTGACTGAAGTCAAGGTGGTCTTGGTTTTGGCTCGGAGTCAGCTGATGTTAAACAGCTTACCATTCATCTGGTAGGTTAGCCCCAGTCCAACTGGAAGCTTATTGGTGGTCAAATGTAGCACTGTGGCAAGGAACACTGAGAAGAATGTTAAAGTGATGACGCAGCCTTGCTTAACTCCTTATTTTAACCTCAAAGGGATCTATGATAGATCCATTGCTGAGGACCACTGTTCACATACTGTCATGCAGCAGGCAGAGAATGGTGACAAATTTTGGAGGGCATCCGTACTTCAGAAGGACCCTCCATAACACTTCTCAGTTGACAACTGAAAGTTTCATAAAGTCAAAGAAGGCCATGTAGAGAGGCTTACGTTATTCCTGGCATTTCTCCTTCAGCTGGTGAGCTGTGAAGATCATGTCACTTGTGCCTCTTGATGCCCTAAACCTACACTGAGTTTCTGGGAAGACTTCTTCAGCAAGTGGAAGGAGATGGTTCAGGAGGGTTCTCACAATGATCTTTCCTGTGATGGACAGCAAGGTGATCCCTCTGTAGTTTCTAGTTGTACTTGTCTCCTTTCTTGAAGGCTGTCACAATCATGGCACCCATGAGGTTGTCTGGGATTTCCTCATCATTCCAGTTCCTCAAGGTGAGGGAATGAAGCTGTGATGTGAGCTCCTCTCCCCAATGCTTTAAGATTTCCACACTGATTCCATCTGCTCCAGATACCTTGTCATTCTTCATCTGCTTGATGGATTTCCTCATCTCATCAAAGGTTGGAGGGATTCCAAGATCATCTCTGACTGGGTGTTGTGGGATGGAGCTGAGAGCACTTTCATCAACAACAGAGTCTCAATTGAGAAGATCTTCAAAATGCTCCTTCCAACGGGCACTGATGAATCCTCTTTCCTTGATCAGGTTTCCTCCCTCCTTAGGTCTCAAGGGGGGCCCTAAGTGCGCAGACTGTAGATGGCTTAGACTGTAGAAGAAAGGGGGTCAGGCTAGATGATCTGTTCAGGTCCCTCCTGACCCTAGCTGCTATGAAACTGCACATATTGTGGGTGTCAGTGAGATGTTGAATCTCTTTAGTGTAGTCTTCCCACCATTTTTTTTTTCATATTGTGAGACCTCCTTTGGAGGCCTTGACTTGTTGGAGATTCAATTTCTTTTGCTTGGAGTTGGTGTCATTTTGCCACGTACAAAGAGCCTTGCACTTGGAATCAATCTTTTACCATGGAGAAGCTGCTGCACATGAACTTCCACATAGCTCTTGACAGTATGGGACCTTGATCCAATGGCAAGGAGACCAAGACAACTGGGGTTCTTGTTCTGCTGTAGCCATCATCTGCTTTTGCAGCCATAGTGATTCCAGCATCTTCTTCGGCCTGCTCTGCCATTGAGGACTTGTAGACCCATGGCAGGGGGCTGAGCAGTAAGGTTATGCGAAGCTTCAGTCCCCGATTCGATTCAGCGGAGATTTGACCCGATTTGGTGGCCAAATCTATGAATCCGAATCGAATCAGGAGATTCTTTAATATTTCTGAATTGAATTGGAACCCTTTGAATCAATTTGGAGAGATTCGGAAATATTCAGTGATTTGGACATAGACACAGCTTTAAATATTTTTTCTACACACCTCAAGGTACCAGGCAGCTCAGGAATGCTGCGACAGTGGGGTGGATGGAGCACCCCACAGGAGCACAGGATCCACTTCTGGGTTTGCCGCTGAGCATGTGGGGGGTCCCCCCATGCTCCTGTGGGACGCTCCATCCACCCCATCATTGCAGTGTTCACAAGCTGCACCTGGTACCTCAAGGTATGTAGAAAAATCATTTAAAGCTGTGTCTGTGGCTGAATTGCTGATTCTCCGAATCAGCACTGAATCTTCAGATTTGGCCAAATCAAAACCGGGGACAGTGATCTGAACCAACGAACTGAATTACTGTCCTTGATTTGGGCCAGATCTGAATCCAAATCAAATACACCCCTTTCACACACCCCTACTAGGCAGGCTTAATATAATGGCGATCTGTACAGCACTGTCAAAGGATATACGTAGCTTTTCAGGAGGAAAAGCATTGCCATCTGCTGTCCTCACCACATCCTAGTGGTGCTGCCACTACTTGGCCCATGACTGCTTATTCATCAATTAACCCAGCTTATTTCACAGC